GTAAATACGAACTCTCAACTTTGAATATTTTTTCTGTTTGTACCAAAATACAATCAAAAGAGCATTCAGTAATTACTTTCTCTTTCCTACTATTAGACAGGCAGTAGTGAGTATTTTCTAATCTTTCTCCGACCAGTGAGGGAATAAAAGATATTCCAACATGGACGTCCAACTGCATCCCACGGATCGTATGCGGGTCACATTGCCTAACTATTCTTATGTGTTGAATTTTGAGAAGAATTTTGTTTACTCAGATACCCAAGCGTTGATGAAAGACCATTTTCCATATTGTTTCTACTACTGTGCCATTTACATTCTGCTAATTTTTGGAGGACGTCGTCATATGTCCAACAGACCCAAATTAGAACTGGGAGGTTTACTTGCTTTATGGAACATAGTGCTTGCGCTATTATCTATTCTTTGTTTTAGTAGAATGGTACCGGAAATGTATCACGTATTAACCCATCATGGATATTACTATAGTGTTTGTGTACCTAGGTAAGTTCACTTTGTATTTTATTCTTTCGAAATCGGTCTTATATTATTCTTGAGTATTATATTAGTTTTATTGTTAGTATTATCCATTCGTGTACTTAATATTCAAACAATTAAAAGTGTTGCACTGAAGACTAAATTTCTAATATTCTTTTGTAATATTAATCATGAAATATTTATTGATTGCTTTACGTATATTTAAATGTACAAAAAATTTACAAAAACTTATTTACAAAATGTCTCTAAATTTATTACAAACTATATCTATAAGCTATATCTGTCGTTCTTTGAAATTTATTACGCCACTTTGAGGTAACGTAACAAATATTGTGTGTTCATATTTACAGAGTGCTACAAAACAAACAAAATTTATACGTACAATTTTCAATAACAGAAGAAATTAAAAGATTACTTACATAGCTATAATATATTACTTGAATTTGAAGCAATAATAAATAACAATTATAAATATTATCCAAAATACATTAAACATTATATCATTTGGTCGATGAAATGAATTTTTATATATCTTAAATAGTTTTAATCATGTTCATGGAGATATAAATTTGCACAAATATTCGCAGTATAGTTATAAGTTTGCTCCACGAATGACACAATCAGCGATTGTAAACTCCGT